TTATGGCGTAAATGATACCCTCTGCCGCTGCCGCTGCCGCTGCCTATCCCCACCTGCTCCTGCTGCTGCTGGGGGGGAGGGGGGGAGGTGCCTCCAGCTCTAAGCCACGCTCTGGGGCTCTCTAAGCCGCGGCTTAAGCTCGGTTTCTGTGTCATTTTCTTGTCTGCAGCTCGGTTTTAAGCGTCAAATAAATTCGCGTCTACAGCAAAATGCGAAAAATACAACAACAAAAAACGAGGAAAAAACGATAACTGGACGGAAAAACTAAAAGGAAAAAACCAAAAAGAAAAAAGAAAAAATACTTTGTGCTGTGTGTAGACGTTGTTGTTGTTCTTTTTGGCGGGGAACGAAACGAACATTTGCAACAATTTGTTATTGGCCATTTAAACCGTTTGCTGTTGGCCCTGTTGGCTGGCCGCTTTCGACCGCCGCGGCGCACTGCGAAATCTGTTGAGTGTTAATGACATTTTTATGTTTTAACGCTTGAAAAACGCTGCGGCTCCGACCGCCGTCGTAGAGTCCATTTTTGGCCCCTTGGGTGGGGGGTGCTGCTGGAGAGGGGGGGGGCAGCACTCTGGGGCACCTGGCACTGCTCTATTTTCGGTGTTGAAATGCGCCCTAGAATTGCACAGAGTACATGGCGATTCAGCGATGACATGTAACAGAAGGCCAGTGCCCGACAGACGATCGAAGCAGCACAAGAATCTTCGAACTTGGATTATCTGGGAGGTATCTCAATCCATTCAAGTCCTTGTGGGATATGGAACTGCCCCGAGTTGATAATGGATACAAATTGTATCCACAAAACCTTGAGAACGGATCGCTTTTGTATCTGGGATAAAGAATGCCCCCTTTGCAGGGTATCTGCTAGTCTCAATATCCGCTCTACGCCAGGTGGGGGGGGGGCTCTCCGTTTTTTAGACAGCAGGGGCGTTCTGTGGCCAACATTTGGAAATGCGGTCTCTGGTCATCCATTCGGCTGCGGTCTCCGCGTCGCCTCGTCGCTTAATGGCGGATTGTTGTTGGGTTTCCATTTCCATGGCCTGCTGTAGATGCCACATGGGAGAAATGACAGGTGACTGTGGCAGCAGGCCAGCGGCGGGAGGCGGGGGAAGCACAAATACAGGGGAAAATGCCAAATACCAAATGGAAAATGGTGAAAAGTGTGGAGCAATAAATGTACAATATTTCCATTGAAAAGTTTAAGTGCCCAAAGGTCAACCATTCAATGGTGCACGCCATTTATTCGCAGTCTCAATAGCATATCCCCCCCTCTCCACCACTACCCTTTGTACCCCCTCTCCCTCCCTCTCTCGATCTACCCGCAGCAAATCCAATTTCAATTCAGTTCTGGCCTTAACTTTTGTGTCAACATTAATTAAATTTCCCTGCGCGAATTTGCAAAAGTTTTTGAGCAGCTAATTGGATTTTTGCTTTGGCAGCGGCAGCGGCAGCGCCAAAAGCAAAACATTCGCGTGCAGCCGCAGTCGCGCGACTAATAACCGCCAAAGCCAAAGCCAAAGTCGCGTCAATCGGTGGCAGGGGCAACAACAGCAACAACAGCAACAACAACAACAGCAACACAAACCAGTCGTCGCCTGCTGCAAGTTTCCTTCCTGCCACGACTGCCTCCTGCCTGCTGCCTGCTGCCTCCTGCCTCCTGCCTCTCGAGGAAGTTTTTCAAGCATAAAAAAAAGAGGAAATGCTCCTATTAAATATACGAAGTATTTCTGTTGTTTCAGGCTTCAGTGATGCCTGAAATTTTCGGGCCAAAAACAATTCGTGGCAATTCCGGCCGATTCCCTGGCCAAAAAAAAACAAATACGAGAAGCAGGTGGTCTTCGACTTTGACTTTGGCTTTTGGCCGGAGTGCGTGGCGCGGCGTGGCGTGGCGTGGCGTCTCTTTTGGCGGGTGGCAAGTGGCAAGTGCAACGGACTCGATCGGGGGTCCATGTACTGCCACTCCTGCTCCTGCTCCTGCTCCTAATCCACCATTTCCCTGGCAACTTCCTTCCTTCGGTGGCACTTCCTTTGGCAAAAGAGAAACAATGGCCAAAAAAAAAGGAAAATAAAAAACTAATAACACTTTAGAGCCAGCGACTGTCTCTCTCTCTCTTACGCTTACTCCGTCAGGGCTTGCCGGGGTCTAAGCCAAGTCTTAATTATGGCTGGAACAACTTTTTGTTTTGGTTCGCAGCTAAAACGCTTCCTGCGAGAAGCAAAGACAAAAAGCTGCCAGCTACTGAACTCCAGAGATGCACTCCACAGAGGAGCTGCCGCTGCTGCTGCCGCTGCTGCTGCCGCTGCTGCAACGTTGCACTCTCCTGCTGCAGCATGTCGTTGCTACATTGCAACAAAAGATGCAGCAGCAGCAGCAGCCGGCACCACATCTCCATGCACCACCTCCTCCACATGCACCACTTGCCGCTTGTTTTGGCGGTTGCTTTTCTTTTTTTCTCTCCTCTTTTTTTTCGGTTTCCACTCGTGTTTTTTTTTTCGTTTCGTTTCGTTTCCCAGACTTCAGTCAATGCACTCTCTATGACGTCGTCGTCGTCGACGTCGTCGTCGTCTGACTGCACAAAATGAAAAAGTTTCGCACAAAAAAAAAAGTAATGAAATCCCAGGCCCAAAAGGAAAAAACTTGCAAGCTAAAAATGCATGCAGAAATACTCCAGAAGGGAAGAGTACAGGCAGCAAGACACCCTACCCAATCGGTACTGCTAAGCCACTGTGGAAGAGGGCGTCTAAGCCACAGGAAACTGAATTCCATCGAGGCACACGTACCTCGACATCCAGATATCTCCACTGTACTCTTCTCCGTGCACTTTTATGAGGGAGAGTAAAGGAGAGAATCCCCTCAATCTCCTCGAGAATACTCCCACCGATAATATCGAGGCACACGTACCTCGACATCCAGATATCTCCACTCTACTCTTCTCCCTGCACTTTTCTGAGGGAGAGTAACGGAGAGAATCTCCTCAATCTCCTCGAGAATACTCCCACCGATAAGATCGAGGCACACGGACCTCAACATCCAGATATCTCCACTCTACTCTTCTCCCCCTTCACTTTTCTGCAGGAGAGAATCCCCTCAATCTCCTCGAGAATACTCCCACCGATAAGGTACATCTTTGTTCGATGCCACCCCTCCCTCTTTCATAGTTTTACAGGGTATCAAGAACAGCAATTCCAACAACCAACAAAACAACACACACAAAAAAAGTTGAAAAAAAAAACACAACAAAACACTCGTTGCATTTTTTTGCAAACACAAAAAAAAGAAGGAAAAAAACAAGAATGATTATTAACGCCTCTTGGGTATGCCACAGGACGATGTCTGCCACCGACTGCCGCCGACTGCAGCTCCAACTCTGATTCCTACCTCTGGCTCCCGACTTCTCCCTCCACTTGCCCCCGCTCCTCCAGGGGACAGTGGGCTGGGGCAGGGGCAGGGGCAGGGGCAGGAGGGGGCTACTGTACAAACAGTTTTCGTCATGTTGTTCTTGGTGTTTTTTCTTTTTTTTTTTTTTGGTGCATTCGCCTGCAGCAGCCTTTGGATGCAAAATGCAGCAAGCGGGGGCCAAAACAACAGCCACCGCCACAGCCGAAGCAGCAGCACAGCAACAACATGTCACAGGAGGCAGGAGAGGAGAGGAGATGGAGCTGTGGATGGAGGCAGGGGGCAGGAGGCAGGAGGAGGCTGAATCCAGGGAATGGAGGAGTTGGGAGTAGGCTGGAAGCCAAAGTCATGACTGGCATCGCAGATCCCCCCACTCATTAGGCCCCCACCTCTCTCCCCCGAGTGTCTGCCCCGTATCCTGCCAGGGTTGGGGGCCAGTGGCAGGTTGCATACTGCATCCTGGGCACCAGGTTTTGCGTCTCAGGCAGTTGCAAATTACGCTCTCAGACTCAATTGTCTTGAGCCTTTGGGGAGACTTACAGCAGCAGCGGCAGCCTCCAGGAGCAGCAGCAGAATGGGGACCCGAAACGACACCAACAATGGGCTGCATTTTAAACGCAGGTCTTAGCCATGGTCTAGACAGACAGACAGACAGACAGGCCACCAGACTGGGCTTCCAGACTGTGGAATCAGAGGCATCTCCCCAGGGGCGTAGAAGGAGAGGCAAGAGAGGCTGGAGAGGGAGGCATGGGGCAGTAGGTGGCAGAAAAGCGTCGCGTCATCGTCGCGTCTGGCACTTGAAATTTTTGTATATGTTCATTAGAACGGTTCTGTATGAGGATGGGGGATGGGGCAGGACGAAGGATGGGGCAGGATGCTTGAATGCCCTGAAGTAGGCAACACTTTTCTGGCAGGCAGGCATTGCACTTCTTTTGACGCATGCAAAAAACGATGCAGGTACAGTTGTGCGTGAAAAACGCATGAAAAAAGAACTGAATTTGTGATGAGAATTTCTTGAACAATTCATATGAAAGCTACAGCAGAAAAGGTTGTTAAATGCTCACCCACACTTCACGGCTAAGACACACTGGAAGAGAGTACTAAAGAATTTAATTTGTGTGCAAAATTCATATGAAAACTACGCCAAAAAAAACTTCTAGAGGTCTCTACAGCATGACAAATATAGATGGAACTCCACAAGAGATAAATTCATGAAATTTGCATTAAATTTCGAGAAAAGACTCCAGAATTGTAGAAAATATAGACCACATGAGTAGAATTTTTGGGGATTTTTTCAAACCCTTTTCCTTGATTTTTAATACGAATTTCTTTACAAAATCTGTATGGCGAAAATGCTTACGCAAATGGAAAATTGAGGAGATTATAGATTAAATATCAAATAAATACTATTTTTAGGAAACTGTTTAATCCCTTTTGAAACTAAAGCAGAAAAGTTTCCACATGTCTTACCTGTTTTTCTTTTTGTTGCTAGTATTTTTATGGAAATTCTTGTGGAAATATATAATACCCAAGACTAATTGAAATTGTTATCCACTTTAAATGCAATAAATATTCAATATTTATTTCTTATATATTTCAGAACCTGTCCATGGATTTATGAGGTACGTAGATCAAACAGTCGCCACCATAAGTAAACGTACGGGTATGGGTATTGGTATTTAAATCTGCTCATGGGGCACAACAAAAGCCGCTTACGATTACGTTTAATGTGCGGCAAGCCCCAAAAACTCGACAAAAAATCAACCTGCATGCAGGAACAACAAAAATAATGTAGGTACTATAAAAAGCCGAAAGAAAAGGAAACAAAAAAACCGAATGAAAAAAACGAAATAAAAATTATAAACGAATCTATTATGACAAGTGCGTGGGGGCTCTGGCTCTGGCTCTGGCTCTGGCTCTGGCTCTGAAGGCTCTGTGCTGAAGTATTTGTACGGAACAAAAGCCCTGTGTGGCAGTGGCAGAGGCAGTGGCAGTGGCAGAATACGGGGGCTGCCTGGGCTGTCGAAAATGAATGCTGAACGGCGGACGGCGGACGGCGGACGGTGGACGGTGGACGGTGGATGGGGCACCCATCATCATGTCAAACGGCAGCAGACAAGAAAACCCAAACGATCAAATTAATAAACGCCACACAAAAGATGACGAGGGAGAGCGGGAGAGATCTACAGGTAGATGTAGATGTATCTGTGGCCCATGCCACGCCCCAAACAACAAGCCAGAGACGGAGGGACGGGGAGACCGGAGACAGCTTCCATGATTGACAACTATGTTGAAATATCAAATTATAAACCGAAAATTCACATCAAAAGAAGCTAAGAGGCTTTCAAAATTCGGTAATTGCCTGATCTATTAGGCCCTCTGATGGGTGCGGGGTGTGGACGACCCTATAAGAAATAAGATCTGTGGAGATCTTAAGACCCAGATTGAAGGTCAATGACAACACAAACACACACTCGAGCCATAATTGATTATTAAACATGGTTCGAAGCGAAAATTTTCATTAAGAAAACATGTTCTTGAATTTCATGCCTCGCAAGAATTTTAATTGCCACAAGTGGCAGTAACAGTGGCACTGGTAGAGGTAGTGCTAGTGGTAGTGGCAGCAGTAGCTGTAGCCTTGGCATCGCTTCAAAACATGAACTAGAAAATAAAAGTGGAGGAGATCCGTAGAGCTGAGAAAACGGCAATCGACATTCACATGGTGCATGCCGCTTGCTGCATGCTGCATGCTGCATGCTGCTCGGTTATGGCCATATGAAAGTGCCACATAATTCTCTTTCTACTGCTCTCCCACTGCCGCAGTGCCGCAGTGCTGCATGCCGCATGCCTCGAGCCAAAACAATTTTCACACCACACCAGAGATCCGTGTGGCACTTCTTGAACTTCTTCTCCTTCGAGAGTGCATCTCCTTTGAGCATCTTTTTTTTTTTTGGGGGGCAACTAAAATGGAAATCCAATCAATGCCTTCTGCAATTTACCCCCAATGCGGTTAATGCCTTTTTTTGCTGTTGTTGTACTCTTCCAGAAGGTATTACCTTTTCAGATTAGCAGTTGAAAAAATGTAGAAAAAGCCAGGAAACTATTGGGAGATTCTCTTCCAACGATTTGAAGGCATCTTCGACACCATATAGAACGTATTCTTGGTGGAAGACTCTCGAAGAGGACTATCTACCTGTGGAATACTTCTGAAACATTCCAAAACATGGCACTGGCCATATTCCAGCATTTTCATGCCATTTTTACAGAGCCCTACTTCAATCACTTCCACCTTCTTCTATATCTTCCATACGATCTCGTATCAAATAGATCGATCCACAGAGAGTATCTAGAACTTCGACGCCGAAGCCGGACTTCTCTTGAGTTTTTAGTGGTTTTTGTAGGCGTAGTTCTAGTTTGAGAGAGTTTCCCCAGTTTTCCACTCGTCCTCATATGTGGGCTCGTCTTTTTTTTTTGAACAAGTTGCCAACGAAGTTTCTCCCAAAAGGAAAGTGCCGAGGATTTGCAATCAAATCACCTACGTGACTTCAGGAACAGAGTTCTCTTCTTTGGTTTTTCTTAAGCTTCAGATTGAAAGATACTTGTCTGGCATGGCAGATTGGAAGATACATATTTTCTATGGAATATTGAAAGATGATTCTTCTCTTTTGCAGACTGAAAGTTTCGTTTCCTTTAGATGCAGATTGAAAGATACTTCCTTTAGTTTTCTTTAGCTGCAGATTGAAAGATACTTCGTTTCGTTTCGTTACTTTCCAGATTCAAAGATAGTTTCTTTTATGGTTTGTGGAAATTAATTTGAGATTAGTTTTTCTCGCAGCTTTCATTTAAATTTTAACAATATTTTCCTCTCCCCCCACCGTTTGCCATAAATCAGGAGAAAAAAGTCTCATGAGACTCCCCTAAACGGCCGCTCCCACCGACCGAGCGACCGACAGAGCGACAGAGCGACCGAGCGAATCTCGGGCTTACACACATGGGGAGGGACGTTACCCATGGGCTTATGGCTTACACATATGTAATTATTGTGAGGCATTCAGGCGGGCAGGCGGGCGGGCAGGCGGACAGCCAGCCAGGCTGTGGGGAGAATTTTTAGTTTACGAGCACATAAATGTAATTGGATGCGCGAAAAATATTACAGGAGTATCTTTCATGCGAGTGTATGGAAAAGAGGAGTCCAGAGGCAGCTGGAGCTGGAGATGGAGCTCTCCTCTATGTTTAGAGGAGCCGCCGTCTGCTGCTGCTGCTGCTGTTCTACTCTGCAATTTTCAGGCGGCAGCTGCTTCCCAGAGAGCCTCATCTGTGGAGGATCTTGAGGCGGAATATCCCGGGCAAAACGTGTCATCATCGATTACGCAGAGTCTATGAAGAACGTGTTGCAGTGGCAGAGGCAGCGACAGAGCCAGTGACAGAGGCACTGACAGAGGCAGAGGCAAACAAGTGGCGGCTGCCTGTTACTATCGCTTTGTGTTATCGTTCTGTGAGGGGCAGGGGCAGGGGCAGGCACTGTGGCAGTAGTCCCTCGGGCGCGTAACTCAAAGCGACAACACTTGACACTAATTAATACATACGCACCGACCTGGGGAAACCTGGGCTTCCCTTCCCGCCCCCTTCCCTGCCGCCCAAGAGCCAGTCCCAGTCGCAGCTTGCCACCCACTCGGTGGTGGCAGTGGCATGTCGACGCATTTCAATCAAGACCACGTCAGCCGTCAGTCAGTCCGTCAGTCAGTCAGTCAGTCATTCAGTTGTGTTGTGCGTCGAGACGAGTGGAGATTCGTGGCGTGATAAAGTTGTTTGCAAGTGTTGCACATGCAACACACATGCACAGATACGCATAGTTGAGTGCCTAACTGGCACATTGACTGCATCCACTGCTTGCCACTGCAGCGTGCAGCGTGCAACACCAGCTAGGAAGTGCAGCAGCTGCCACACAACGAGGAAGAGAAAGAGAGGGCAGGCGCTGTCTGTGCGGCATTGTACTACTGGGGCGGTGCGATGCTTATCAGCAGCAGCCGCCTGCTGCTCCTCTCCGCTGGGCTCTGGCCTCCTCCAGATCCCAGGGGGAGGCGTGGGCCTCTCCGCTGATAATGTTTACCGTTGCATTTCCTATGCCCGATTAAGGTTGCTCCTCCGCTTGAGACGAGCGACACTCCAGGGTGAGTGGAGAGAGGGAGAGCGAAGTGTCGCTGGATGGTGTCCAAAGTTCAATTAACATGCAAGAAGTACGGGGAAAGCGCCGGGGAAATGTTGTGGAAAAATATGGAATTTTGTGGAGGAAAAGTCCCAGAGGAAGTACGAAAGAGATCCCACCTTCTGGTGGAAAAAGGTGATACCTCTCCTCGAAAGCCCTTCGCGTTCCTTTGCAATCATTCAGGCCAGGCCTTTACTGCGAGAAAAACCCCTTCAAAGGTTGAAGCCCCGAAAACCTTCTACTCGTAAAACCCATTCAGAGTCTCAGAAACATTTCCGCACAGGTTTTCGGCATTTGATTTGACTTTAATTTGGGAATTTGACACAGCAATATGCCACATTTAACGTGTCATTCATCTGTCATGCAAATGGGCCAAATGTATGGCCAAAATCTAGCCAAAATATGGCCAACAAATATGCAAATTAAGGCATTTCCTCTATGATTATACCGCTTTTTATTGACCAATTAAAAGCGCTTGTGTGGCGGAAGAAATGATTCATCTAAGTCTCTCCCTCTCTCTCTCTCTCGCGAGTCTCAGGAGCCTCTCAAGTGGAGGGCTGCTGGGCTGTCTCATCAACATTTGTGGGGGCCCTCTGGCATTTTGTGTGTATTTTTGTGTAGATTTTTGACAATGCCACAGTGCCACCAACCGACAATGATCGATGAAGTTGCGCCTTGGACTTTAACTCCGAAAAATCAGTCGAGAAATCAAATAAAAATCAGAAAAAAAAAAAAAATGTTGATAACAAAGAAAAACTGGCATTAATTTTCGGGTCTCTTTAGAGTCGGAAATCTTTGACACCCAATGCCTGAATAAATGCTTAATTAACACTCAATGGCGCGCCTAAAGCGAATTTTCAACGTAAACTGCAAGGCAATTGGAAGGCGAGAGGCAGTGGCAGAGGCAAGAGGCACAGACGAGGGGCAGGGGCAGAGGCAGAGACAGGCGCAATGTTTGAATGCAATCCAAAAGCTGAAATTAAAGGTTTTTCTTCGGTTTTTTTTCCTTTTTATTTTTCCGCCAAAACAGAAAAGCAAACAGCGGATAAAATTGACATTTTGCTTCACTCGACAGACAGGCAACCGAACGAAAAAAATGTTTCGTTTCTTTCGAGATACTCTTTCGAAGAGGGGTATTATGGGCCCAGGGGGTTTTCAGAGATCATCTTTGAGACTTTTGCAAGGGGTTTTGGGTTTTTTCCCAGAGGGTTATTGAGAAATTCAGTCCTTGATGATCAAAAATACCTTGCATCTCTCTGTCCATCTCTTTTCTGCTCTCTCCCAGTGAGGCTTAGCAGAATACCAATAGTTTTCCTTTGTTTTTAAGCAAATTAATTGGGAAGTCTGATTTCAAGTGACCAAAATCACAGCAAAATCTCACTCTTTCAATCACTTTCGTATGCATCTCTCTTCCAG